CTCACATGTTGACGTACAGGGTGGGGGGCGACCCCCACATGTTGACGTACAGGGTGGGGGGCGACCCCCACGTGTTGACGTACAGGGTGGGGGACGACCCCCACGTGTTGACGTACAGGGTGGGGGCGACCCCCACGTATTGACGTACAGGGTGGGGGGCGACCCCCACGTATTGACGTACAGGGTGGGGGGCGACCCCCACGTGTTGACGTACAGGGTGGGGAAGGGGCGAGCCCCACAGGTTGACGTAAAGGGGGAGCCGAGCCCCACATGTTGAACACCAACCCAGCTATCGCGTGTAACACAAAGCAAGAGTATCTTGTAAGGTAAGATCAGGAGAAAACTCCAAGCCATCATAACTATATATCGAGGATTCCGTGCTGGACTGAGAGAGACCGCGAGCAGCGATAATATTTAACGTTGTGTTCCTGGCTTGCACCGAGACTTTTGAATAATTAATGGAAGTGGAATCCTGGAACCTCTGGTGTTATCCTCATTAATATTTCACAGGCAGGAAGGCAGCAGGCTCAGCCGACAGATGTCAGTTGTGATTGAAGAAACTCTTCGGGTAGTGCTGCATGACCTGGTGACATGTTCCAGAGCCAGAGGAATGGTTAGTCGCTCCTTTCACCTTCACAGCCTTGGAAGACGCTCCTGCCACCTACACAGACCTGGAAGACGCTCCTGCCACCTACACAGACCTGGAAGACGCTCCTGCCACCTACACAGACCTGGAAGACGCTCCTGCCACCTACACAGACCTGGAAGACGCTCCTGCCACCTACACAGACCTGGAAGACGCTCCTGCCACCTACACAACCCTGGAAGACGCTCCTGCCACCTACACAGACCTGGAAGACGCTCCTGCCACCTACACAGACCTGGAAGACGCTCCTGCCACCTACACAGACCTGGAAGACGCTCCTGCCACCTACACAGACCTGGAAGACGCTCCTGCCACCTACACAACCCTGGAAGTCGTTCCTGCCACCTACACAGCCCTGGAAGATGCTCCTGCCACCTACACAGCCCTGGAAGATGCTCCTGCCACCTACCCAGCCCTGGAAGATGCTCCTGCCACCTACACAACCCTGGAAGACGCTCCTGCCACCTACACAGACCTGGAAGACGCTCCTGCCACCTACACAGACCTGGAAGACGCTCCTGCCACCTACACAGACCTGGAAGACGCTCCTGCCACCTACCCAGCCCTGGAAGATGCTCCTGCCACCTACACAACCCTGGAAGTCGCTCCTGCCACCTACACAGACCTGGAAGACGCTCCTGCCACCTACACAGACCTGGAAGACGCTCCTGCCACCTACACAACCCTGGAAATCGCTCCTGCCACCTACCCAGCCCTGGAAGATGCTCCTGCCACTTACACAGCCCTGGAAGACGCTCCTGCCACCTACACAGCCCTGGAAGACGCTCCTGCCACCTACACAACCCTGGAAGTCGCTCCTGCCACCTACACAACCCTGGAAGACGCTCCTGCCACCTACACAGCCCTGGAAGATGCTCCTGCCACCTACCCAGCCCTGGAAGACGCTCCTGCCACCTACACAGCCCTGGAAGATGCTCCTGCCACCTACCCAGCCCTGGAAGATGCTCCTGCCACCTACACAGCCCTGGAAGATGCTCCTGCCACCTACACAGCCCTGGAAGATGCTCCTGCCACCTACCCAGCCCTGGAAGATGCTCCTGCCACCTACACAGCCCTGGAAGATGCTCCTGCCACCTACCCAGCCCTGGAAGATGCTCCTGCCACCTACACAGCCCTGGAAGATGCTCCTGCCACCTACCCAGCCCTGGAAGACGCTCCTGCCACCTACACAGCCCTGGAAGATGCTCCTGCCACCTACCCAGCCCTGGAAGACGCTCCTGCCACCTACACAGCCCTGGAAGTATAATGTCACACCCACTGAACATCATGAACCCCCCCTGCCCCCCATGGTCAGGAGGCGTGTGTGTGTGCAGGGGAGGGGGGGGGGGGAGAGGGGCCGAGATACATGGGGGGTGAGCGTGTCAACACAACACCTGGCGGGTTGGATCCTCCGTGTGAGCCTCTATAGTCCGCCAGCTGTTGACGGCTTCAGGAGTCGATACCCGCCGGCGGTGCTGCGTCGGGGGCCCGCTCCTCGCTCCCCACGGTATAACATGGAGGTCTTTCACGTTAATTTACCCGCATGTACCCGAGGGCCACCATCTTTCTTTAGTGACCTCCGTGGAGACAGGAAGCCAGCGGCTTGTCAAAGGTTCTTTATGTCCACATAATGTTGGCGGGTTTCAAGAGTGATCTAGCTAGGAACCAGAGTCGTTCTACAGGTTGAGTATCAGTTATGACCTTGACTGTAGCAGCAGTCAGAGCCGGGTTTCTGGTGTTGATACTATCAAGTATGGTACCAGGGTCCTGGGTGGCGATGTAGACACTCGTGTGGCTGACGAAGATGGTTCGTTCAGCCAAGTAGCGACGGTTAGGAGTGATGATCAGGTTGGAGTTTCGTAGGGCGTCCTGGTGTTCTGGTGCAAACAGTTGCTCCAGAGCTTGCTCGCTTGAATAAAGAAGTACAGCGCCGTCAGCATCGTCACGGATGTCCAACGGGGCTGCATTCGTGATGTCGACGATTTTCCTTAGTAATTGGGGTCCGGTGTAAGTGGTTAAGTGGTGTAAGTGGTAAGGTAAGTAAGTCCGGTGTAAGTAGTAAGTGGTGGTGGAAAATGGATTTAGATGTCTGGATATTTCCATCACACCTGACACTATAAAGAAGGAACGTTACTACAACATTCGCCAGTGCTTTAAGTGCTACAAGTACGATCATGATACCAAGAACTGCCAACAAGCAGAGGTTAAATGCAGCATTTGTACCCAGGATCATCACTTCAAAACCTGCCGGTCAACCACCAAACTGTGCCTCAATTGTGGAGGAGCTCACATCGCCGTCTCCATGGACTGCCAAGTACGACTAGATGAAATAAATAAAACAGTAACTGCCAACCCAACAACCAATCAGGCGGCGAGCTTCAATATCCAAGCTACATCGTTTCCAGTGCTTCCCAACGCTTCTGCTCCTGCTACACAGACGTCCACACCAGGCCAGACCACCCCCCAATGGGGACCCAGGACACAGGCGACTGCAGCTCAGCCAACCAACTTGACTGTCAACCAATCAGCAGCCTCGACCAACGCCACTCTCATCCCATGCCTGATCAGTGTAGCTGAGAGAGAGGCGGGAACAGACAACGCAAAATACGTGAGAGTACTGAACAGGCTGCTCGCCCAGAACAACCTGCCTACAATGTTGATACCAGCAGACCTATTTCAACATCACAACGCTGCTTCAACCCAAACAGACGAAATTCCAACACCAACAGTAACCGCAGTCATACCGCAACCACCACCACCGGAGTCGAACCCAGCACAAGTCACCCAGGCAACAGCATCCACCCAGACTACCTCCACAGCAGACCAGTCAACCTCATCACCTGCCCCCACCAGCCGGAGACGGAAGAAAAGGAGAGCAAAAAGTCAGCAAGTGGAATCAGAATCAGATTCAGAACCAGAACCAGCACCAGAGTTCCTAGAAGCCTCGGCTGAGACCTTCACATATGAGGCCCCAGACTTCGACCTAAACCCAAGCAAATCAAGCAAGAAAGTGCCCTGCTATGGACTTTACCTCAATCACGGTGGCACTTTCAACGGCAATCGAAGCACAAGAATGGTCATTGCCTTAGAATGCAACAGGATCATCAACCAGCTCAGGACCTGCATTCCTTACCCTGTGTTTGTCCACCACGAGACCGTGGAACATTATGTAGACCTCTGCGCTCTGGAGAGTGAATACATCGACCCTAAATTCGACTTCAAGAGGGGACAAGTGACCTTCCTGGAAGAAGATGAAGACCCGACAGGAACACCAATACCACCGCTATCATTTGGGAAGTACATGCGAATACCTCCTGGCCAAGACACCACCAAGCAACAGTGAACTTACCTCTCACCGCCTCAATAAGGAAGACGCCTCCTCCAAGCCAGACAGACCACCTCAAGTGAACCAGGACGACATCACCCTGCCCCACCACTAGCCTCCTGCCGCCCAAGAAGAACTTAAGCTACAGGCTTTGACTGAAAAAACATCTCCAATCCAAGGTGGACGGGCCACCGAACTTTCAAGCCTCCTCTCTCCACATCCAAATCCTCTTCCAAGAATTTCATCGCCCCATCCTTCTTCCTCCCTCATCCTTTCCAAGCTCTTTGGACATCAAAGCGAAAAGTATCAGTTATAGGTACTTCTCAGACCCATTCTTACTGAGGTGATAATGTCGGGGCCTGACAGCTGAGCGGACAGCGCTCGGGTTTCGTAGTCCTAAGGTTTCGGGTTCGATTCCCGGCGGAGGCGGAAACAAATGGGCAGAGTTTCTTTCACTCTGATGCCCCCTGTTACCTAACAGTAACTAGGTACCTGGGAGTTAGACAACTGCTACGGGCTGCTTCCTGTGGGTGTGTAACAAAAAGGAGGCCTGATCGAGGACCGGGCCGTGGGGACGCTAAGCCCCGATATCACGCAGTCCCCGTGGTGTAGTGGTTAAAACGCTCCCCCTGGTGTTTCGCAAGCGCTTTGTCCTGGGTTCGTATCCTGGCCGGGGAGGATTTACTGGGCGCAAATCCTTAACTGTAGCCTCTGTTTAACTCAACAGTAAAATGGGTACTTGGTTGTAACAACGATTCTTCGCGGCGGTCGTATTCCAGGGACCATAGGATTAAGGACCTGCCCGAAACGCTACGCGTACTGGTGGCTGTACAAGAATGTAACAACTCTTGCATATATAAATAAATATATAAATAAATAAAAACTAAATTAAAATTTCAAGATAACATTTAGTCCTACAGTGTGAAGACCGCCATCTTCTACACGTGGGGAGAGGAAAACCGCCCTTTGTGCAACTCCCACACCAGTGATGGCTCTCTGCCGGCCGTGCGGACGGTGATAATAACTTACTGATGACGGTGATGAGGTGGGTGTGGTTGAGGGGGTGGTGGGTGACAGGGTGGGTCGCCCAACACTCAGCTGTAGCCTGGCTGACCTGGTGGGTAGTGGGCAGGTGGTGGGTGAGGCGGGAGGACGTCACCCACCCTCCGTCAGGATCCTCACTCACCACGCCCTTGCCCGAGGGCGCCACATCTGAACCTTTGGGGCGGGAAGGAAACATGGAATAAGAAAAATACACACTTGCCGTGAAGCCTCTGACTGTTCCACGGACCCCAGTGACCCCCCACAGACCCCAGTGACCCCCCCCCACGGACCCCCTGTGACCCCCCCACGGACCCCCAGTAACCCCCCACGGACCCCACTCAGCTACACCCTGGAGCTGGGTGGGGTCACGCAATCACAAACCTCATTACAAGAAAATATTAAAGAAACTGCTGAATTGGCCCACGTGAGGTCGCTCCTATTTATTATCCAGCACCACACATTCACATACGTGTACTCACCTAATCTCACTTAATTGTGATTGCGGGGGTTGAGCTCTGGCTCTTTGGTCCCGCCTCTCAACTGTCAATCAACTAATGTTCAGGTTCCTGAGCCTACTGGGCTCTATCATATCTACACTTGAAACTGTATGGAGTCAGCCTCCACCACATCACTTCCTAATGCATTCCATTTGTCTACTACTCTGACACTGAAAATGTTCTTTCTAACGTCTCTATGGCTCATTTGGGCACTCAATTTCCACCTGTGTCCCCTAGTGCGTGTGCCCCTTGTGTTAAATAGTCTGTCATTATCTACCTTATCCATTCCTCTGAGAATCTTGTATGTGATGATCATGTCCCCTCTAACTCTTCTGCCTCCCAGTGACGTGAGGTTTAATTCCCGAAGTCTCTCCTCACAGCTCATAGCTTATTTGTGTGTGTGTGTTGTATACTATCAGGTGTTGTATACTATCAGGTGTTGTATACTATCAGGTGTTGTATACTATCAGGTGTTGTATACTATCAGGTGTTGTATACTATCAGACGTAAACTTGCCTGAGACAATTAAAGTAAAGTAAAGTAAAACAAAGTAAAGACTTGTTTATTAAGTCTTGAGTTATGTGGGACTTTATAAATCATTTCAATTAACTTATGGCACTGTTGCAGTGTCAATAGATTTTTTTTTTACGTTACCGCTCAATACTTTGTGCAAGTCGTTTATAAATGAGATAAACGAGAGAGGTCCCAGGACTCTGCCCCGAGACACTCCACTCGCAGCTGTTTCCCAGTCCAGCAGCTGGACGACATATACACGCTGTTTACTCCCATATCATCACGAACTGGTCCATGTGAATGAGTGTGGGTGGATGAAAACAGCAGCTGCCTCGTCTGGGCCTTCAGCCCTTCTGGGATATCTTTTATTCTCAAGCTTTAAAGACGTCCCTTCACCATCAATCGCTCGACCTCTCCTGTATCTGGTTACGGAGCTTCTCATTCTCCTGCTCGGGGGAACTGTAATTGTCCTCTCACCAGTGACGCTCTCAACAGGTGGGCCACAGCTCGCTATACTCACCTTGAAGGCGCCAGGCGAGGGTGGCTGGAGGGTTGGCAGGTGAGGTGAGACAAGTGAGGGTGAACAACTGGTCAGTCGTCACCACAGCTGGGCCCAACACACTCACGCGCTCCGGGGCGTCTGTCAACGGGAAAATGTATATTCATGTTATTGGATCGTGCGTGTCAACAGTGAGCGGCGTGGCGGAGCGGGAGAGAAGCCTACGAGGGAAGAAGAGAGATCTACAGGTTCATGGCAGTGGTCAGCTTGCAGACGGGTCACAATCCGTCCCGGGTTTGATTCCCCGGGCATGACTGAAAACGTCTGCCACGTTTCTTTTCACCCGATGTATATGTTCTCCCAGCAGTCACTAGGGAACCGGGAGGGAGGCATTTGTCGTGAGGTCGCATTCTGGAGAGGTTAAGTCATTGGGTAAGGGGGGTAACTTCCCTAACAGTGTGAAACAAAGCCAAAATACCTTACCTTAGCAGCTCCTTGTGGGTAGGTAGGCTCAGAATATGAGGGCAGGAAGGCTCTCTTCCCTACTCCCCCACTTCCTCTGACACTTGCCATGGTAATAAACTGGGAATAGTACCATATTATGCAAGTTACAGCCCCGCTCCTGTGCCAGCTAAGTCCACTACGGGCTCACCATAGCCCGTGCTACTTGCAACTTTTTGTTCCCAATAGCTGAATCTTAAACAACCACCACATTATGAACAAATCATCATTGACATTATCACTGTAACGTACGAGGGAATGACTGTTGCTGCTGTAACGGTAGAAATGTCAAAATACGACGCCTATCGGAAATATGGCTTTTTTTATACCGAAAATTGCAAATTAGGTTAAGTTAGGTGCAATAATTACTGAAACGTTTGCAACTGCTGTTCGTAACACTTGGATCTGCCATCACACACGCCGAGGAATTCTGGGCCCAATTCTGCCACTATTTCAGGACATTTAATAATTTTAGGACTAGATTTGGTAAGAAAATCAGGTGGAGCTTTGAGGTGACTCGAATCCGTGACCAGAGAACTCTCAGCGCTGACGTTACAACAACTTATAAAAGAGGAGGAGTAAGTTTACGGGACTACGGTGAGAGGAACCTTACAATGTACTGTGTGAGGGGGGCGATCAGAGCACAGTGTACGGTGAGAGGGAAGACTGTGACAGTGTTGACTGTACAAATTTACGGGCTCACCATAGCCCGTGCTACATGGACACTTCGTCCTGAGTAGCTAAATCTTTAACAACAACAACATGAATGTACAACAGCGTAGTGTACAGTGACGGAATCTAATAGCGTAGGGAAAGGTTGTGATAAAGTGTACAGTGACGAGTAAACTTACAGTGACACGTAAACTTACAGTGTACAGTGAGTGTAACATTGGTGGTGAGGGGTTGAGGGAGGAGATCGCTGGAGACCCTACACTCGTACACAGCACCGTCCTCCGCCCGCGCCGCCGTCACCAGCTGTCTCACTCTCACCACCCTGAGAGGCCGCCCCTGGGTGCTGCTGCTGCTGCTGGTGGTGCTGGTGCTGCTGCTGGGCGCAGCTGTGGTGGTGGTGAGGTTCTGCAGCCTCGCCAGGTGGGTCAGGGCCAGGTTGAGGGGGCGACCATGCCTATACCAGGTGACCCAAGGGCGGGGGCGCCCGCCAACCACCTGGCAGACCAGGGGGCGCTGCTCCCCCTCCACCAGCACCTCCCCTGTCTGGTAGCCGGTGATGGCAGGTGGGCCGGGCGGATCTGAAAGGCAGGGAGGGGGAGGGGGGGATTACTTCTCACGGGCTATTCATGCCCGTGCCACCTCTTGGGTGGCTTAATCTTTATCAATCGGGGATTACTTCAAGGTGTCAGAGAGCACGAGTGCCAAGTGACAGGAGGCGTCTTAGAGGCAACACCTTCACCAAGCACTAATGGCCTCGTACTCTCTCTAATTATAATGCTATATAAAAACGAATTTCGTAATAATATGAGGCGAAACAAGGCCTACTCTCCACTGTGCCTCTCACGATTACAGTAGGCCTACTCTTTCACCTTGCACTTCCCAATGCTAGAAACCTATGTGCCTTCACTGTACATGTCTCGCGATGCCAGTAGGCCTACTCTCCAAAACTATGCACCTCGTACACAGTAGGCCTACTCTCTTACATTGAGCACATGGCACAACACCAGTAGGCCTACACTGACATTGAGCACATGGCACAACACCAGTAGGCCTACTCTCCTACATTGAGCACATAGCACAACACCAGTAGGCCTACTCTCCTACATTGAGCACATGGCACAACACCAGTAGGCCTACTCTCCTACATTGAGCACATAGCACAACACCAGTAGGCCTACACTGACATTGAGCACATGGCACAACACCAGTAGGCCTACTCTGACACTGAGCACCGCTCCAAAAGTTGTAGACCCATCCAGACCAGACCTGCTGGCTAGTAACCAACACATCAAGAGCACAACTGTTGCTTTCGTCACTATAACACATTTTAGAGACACTCTGGCAAGCCAAATCTTAGTCAAGTGTGATTCATCAATAATTTCCTAATAATCTGGCTCCAATTTTCCCCATATTTTCATCCTAAATTTTCAAATATCTTGTTGCCATTTGTTCGTATCTTGTCCCATTTTGTCACGTTTAATCCTTCTCAATTTTCACATTCACCAGAACTTCACTTTTCCCGGTCCCCACATATTCCAAAATCTTGTTTCCTATTAACCCGTCGCCGCCCCCCCCCCCATTTTCGTGGCCTATTTTTGGCCCCTCCAAGTTACCAGCGTAAATATCTTAGATGTAATTTCCGGAAGTGTTCAAGGTGCCATCCTACTGTGTCTTAAAGCTGACCACTTACCTCACATTACTGCCACCCATGTATAGTTCACTACCAACCACGTACAGCTCACCACCACCCACGTACAGCTCACCACCACCCACGTATAGCTCACCACCACCCACGTACACCTCACCACCACCCACGTACACCTCACCACCACCCACATACAGCTCACCACGACTCACGTACCAATATATATATATATATATATATATATATATATATATATATATATATATATATATATATATATATATATATACATATTACAGCGATAATATAATATATATTATATTACAACGAACATATAATATATATATTCCAAATGCAAAAACAATGTTAAAACAGAACCTCTGAACTGCTAGTTGGTCTCAACCCAACTATGTTACCCAAAAGACCATAACGTACAAAATATATATATATATATATTAGTATATTTTGGTAGCAGTCTTTCCTGTAGACATATATTATTAAATATGACCGAAAAAGTAAGATTAATAATTCTAACACGAATTTTCTCAATCTTTCGTACATTACGCTTCACTGTTGGAGGTAAATCAAAAATCACTTCTCCAAAATTCATTTTTATTTTTAGTCTGACGCGACACGGGCGCGTTTCGTAAAACTTATTACATTTTCAAAGACTTCACAAATACACAACTGATTAGAACTTGCGTTTCCCTGATTTTATATCTACATTTGAGTGAGGTGGGAAGGGTGATGTGGCATTACATTTGAGTGAGGTGGGAAGGGTGATGTGGCATTAACACAAGACAGAACACTAGGGGATATTAATAGGGTATTAAAAGTATCAACACAAGACAGAACAGAAACAATGGGTATTGAATAGAAGTGTTTGTAGAAAGCCTATTGGTCCATATTTCTTGATGCTTCTATATTGGAGCGGAGTCTTGAGGTGGGTAGAATATAGTTGTGCAATAATTGGCTGTTGATTGCTGGTGTTGACTTCTTGATGTGTAGTGCCTCGCAAACGTCAAGCCGTCTGCTATCGCTGTATCTATCGATGATTTCTGTGTTGTTTACTAGGATTTCTCTGGCGATGGTTTGGTTATGGGAAGAGATTATATGTTCCTTAATGGAGCCCTGTTGTTTATGCATCGTTAAACGCCTAGAAAGAGATGTTGTTGTCTTGCCTATATACTGGGTTTTTTGGAGCTTGCAGTCCCCAAGTGGGCATTTGAAGGCATAGACGACGTTAGTCTCTTTTAAAGCGTTCTGTTTTGTGTCTGGAGAGTTTCTCATGAGTAGGCTGGCCGTTTTTCTGGTTTTATAGTAAATCGTCAGTTGTATCCTCTGATTTTTGTCTGTAGGGATAACGTTTCTATTAACAATATCTTTCAGGACCCTTTCCTCTGTTTTATGAGCTGTGGAAAAGAAGTTCCTGTAAAATAGTCTAATAGGGGGTATAGGTGTTGTGTTAGTTGTCTCTTCGGAGGTTGCATGGCTTTTCACTTTCCTTCTTATGATGTCTTCGATGAAACCATTGGAGAAGCCGTTATTGACTAGGACCTGCCTTACCCTACAGAGTTCTTCGTCGACTTGCTTCCATTCTGAGCTGTGGCTGAGAGCACGGTCGACGTATGCGTTAACAACACTCCTCTTGTACCTGTCAGGGCAGTCGCTGTTGGCATTTAGGCACATTCCTATGTTTGTTTCCTTTGTGTAGACTGCAGTGTGGAAACCTCCGCCCTTTTCCATGACTGTTACATCTAGAAAAGGCAACTTCCCATCCTTTTCCGTCTCGTAAGTGAAACGCAGCACGGAACTCTGCTCAAATGCCTCCTTCAGCTCCTGCAGATGTCTGACATCAGGTACCTGTGTAAAAATGTCGTCAACATACCTGCAGTATATGGCCGGTTTCAAGTTCTCTTTCTAGGCGTTTAACGATGCATAAACAACAGGGCTCCATTAAGGAACATATAATCTCTTCCCATAACCAAACCATCGCCAGAGAAATCCTAGTAAACAACACAGAAATCATCGATAGATACAGCGATAGCAGACGGCTTGACGTTTGCGAGGCACTACACATCAAGAAGTCAACACCAGCAATCAACAGCCAATTATTGCACAACTATATTCTACCCACCTCAAGACTCCGCTCCAATATAGAAGCATCAAGAAATATGGACCAATAGGCTTTCTACAAACACTTCTATTCAATACCCATTGTTTCTGTTCTGTCTTGTGTTGATACTTTTAATACCCTATTAATATCCCCTAGTGTTCTGTCTTGTGTTAATGCCACATCACCCTTCCCACCTCACTCAAATGTAATGCCACATCACCCTTCCCACCTCACTCAAATGTAGATATAAAATCAGGGAAACGCAAGTTCTAATCAGTTGTGTATTTGTGAAGTCTTTGAAAATGTAATAAGTTTTACGAAACGCGCCCGTGTCGCGTAAGACTAAAAATAAAAATGAATTTTGGAGAAGTGATTTTTGATTTACCTCCAACAGTGAAGCGTAATGTACGAAAGATTGAGAAAATTCGTGTTAGAATTATTAATCTTACTTTTTCGGTCATATTTAATAATATATATATATATATATATATATATATATATATATATATATATATATATATATATATATATATATATATATATCAAGTAGACACGGATCTTCACAGGGGTGGCATCCAGTGCCAAGTATTATGACGTCAGACTGCATGGGGCAGACGTCATTAGGGCTGCTGGTGTCTCCCCAAATTAGCAGCAAGGTAGTTAGGCTATAACCTAATTTGTTGAAATCGTAAATGCTTCAGTAAATGTCGTCTGTATAATGGTAAAGGTTAAAGTCTCTCTCTCTCTCTCTCTCTCTCTCTCTCTCTCTCTCTCTCTCTCTCTCTCTCTCTCTCTCTCTCTCTCTCTCTCTCTCTCTCTCTCTCTCGACTCAACTTATTTGGTTTGGTAAAGGACATTATTCAGAGCCCCAACATGTTATTCTGATAGCGTTCGATAGGTATACACAGGTTCTTTTTATCCAATTTTACGATAAGTATAGAAGGAAACTGTTTACCTGTGAAGGGGGTTTCGAGAATTCCTACACTCCCGCAGTCAGGCTGGGAGACATCCTTGATATATCAGGTTGTTGCTGGCAGCGGCCCGAAGCCCCCATACATCCATCACAGCCCAACTAATCCTGCACTTCATACAAATGCCCTCGTTAAAATGTCAATCTTCGTTACCCCAATATTGATTCGGTATTGGCTTCGTTACCTAGGTAGACGAGCCGCGGGCCTCTGATGTTTACACACAGTGTTCCCCGACTGTGCTCACGCCGTCTCTACCCTCCACACGGGTCCCTTGTACACCACCCTTCCACGTACTCCGCTCCAGTACGCTCTCTGGCAAAGCCTGACAACAGGAAATGGGGATTGGATATGTTGCCGATCAATTATGTGGTCATGTACACGCATGTAGCAGGTAGACCAGCGTGGGAGTACACGCATGTAGCAGGTAGATCAGCGTGGGAGTACACGCATGTAGCAGGTAGATCAGCGTGGGAGTACACACATGTAGCAGGTAGATCAGCGTGGGAGTACACGCATGTAGCAGGTAGATCAGCGTGGGAGTACACGCATGTAGCAGGTAGACCAGCGTGGGAGTACACGCATGTAGCAGGTAGATCAGCGTGGGAGTACACGCATGTAGCAGGTAGATCAGCGTGGGAGTACACGCATGTAGCAGGTAGATCAGCGTGGGAGTACACGCATGTAGCAGGTAGATCAGCGTGGGAGTACACGCATGTAGCAGGTAGATCAGCGTGGGAGTACACGCATGTAGCAGGTAGACCAGCGTGGGAGTACACGCATGTAGCAGGTAGATCAGCACAGGAGTACACGTCAAAGGGGCGTACAAATGCAAAAAACTTAAATTCC